AATAAAGCTCCAAAGTAAAATGTCAAAGAAAATATTTGTACTTATACTAAGTCAAGATCTTACAAAGATATTTTAATGTGCTAAACGCAGTGATCACATGACGAATATAAAATTGTGCTGTAACTATAAACTGTAGATGAACTACAACCATTTGCCTTGTAGATGTCATGTCTCACAGCCAAATATGGCTTTCGCAGTAAGAGGAGCTCTCTTGATAAACTATGTGACACACATCATTATCTAACCATCAAATGTAATTTGATGCATGAGACTACTGATTAGTTTACCTTGCGATTCTGCAGGTGGTAAAACCCCACCAGCACATTTAAGACTAGTGATGGTTGGTGCTCAGTGGTCAGCTAAGAGCTCGGCTGGAAACACCATTCTGAGGAAAAAGGCTTTTGCTGTTCATCACAGAAGAACAACGATGTCCTGTGAAATTAATCACGGCGTTCTGGGAGAAAGGAGACTCGCAGTGGTGGATTCTCCTGGTTGGTTCTACAACCACACCCTTCAGGACACCTCTGAGACAGATAAACATGAAATAGAGAACAGTGTGTACATGTGCACTCCAGGACCCCACGCAGTGCTCCTCGTGGTCGGCCTGGCATCTGCATTTAATACATCCTACCACAGAGCAGTCCAGGAGCACATGAGTCTGTTTAGGGATGATGTCTGGAAGCACACCATTGTTCTGTTCACTAGAGGTGATTGGCTGGGAGTGAAGACTGTGGAAGAACGTATAGAGAGTGAGGAAGGTCTGCAGTGGCTGATGAAGCAGTGTGGGAACAGGTACCACGTCCTGGACAACATGAAGGATAATGATGAGATGCAGGTACAAGATCTCCTGGAGAAGATTGAAGAGATGTGGGCAGGAAATGAAAACTCACATTATGAAGTTGATCTGGATCGTGAAGCACAGCTGGAGGCCAGAAAAGAGGTTGAAGGAAAATTAGCTAGGAGGATCAGAAAGACCACTGAAAGACAATCAAGAATACTGGGAAAGTTATTTGAAGGTAATCAAGAAATCATCAAATAATTATGGCATTATTTTAGTCACTCTTTCAGTTTAAACTTTACTTTTTTACAGGAGAGAGGCTGACAATCACTGACCTGAGGATTGTACTGCTTGGCAGAGAGGAATCTGGGAAGAGTATGGCAGGAAACAACATCCTTTTTGAAGAGATATTTGAGAGAGTTTGGGTGAAGAAGGTAACCAAATATAATGCCCGAGGTTCACGTGTAATTTATCAGGTGTCATGATCATTGAATAATGTTTGGATCTTTGTTTCTATGCAGGAATTCGAGGACCGGAGAAGAACAGAAAAGTGTGTAAAGCATGAAGGAAATTTAGGTGGAATAAATGTTGCAGTCGTTGAGACTCCAGGCTGGCCTGCAGACACGACGGCTCCTGTCTGGCTAAAAGAAGAAGTTCTCCGCAGCGTCTCCATGTGCGCTCCAGGCCCTCATGTTTTTCTTTTGGTTGTTCCCATTTCCAAAGCATTCACAGAGGAAGACCACAAAGCACTGGTTGAGCTGTTGATGCCCTTTGGAGAGAGAGTGTGGAGACATTGCATGGTGTTGTTCACCTGGGGAGACTGGCTGAATGACAGACTCATTGAGGAGCACATTGCAGGAGAGGGGAAAAGCCTCCAGTGGCTGGTGGAAAACTGTGGGTACAGATACCATGTCCTCAACTGCCATGGTTTGGGTTATCATTTTCCTGTCAAACTGCTCTTCCAAAAAATCACTGACATGATCACACGGAACAAGGAACAATGCTTCACTGCTGAAAGCAAACAAGGGAAAAAACACAAACTGCCCTGGCGATCAAGACAGTCTGTGCTGACAGAAGAAGAGTGGAACAGGAGGGAGCAAGAGCTGATAGACCGAATGTTGAGAGCTGTTGTAAATGAACCAGAAGAGCCAACACAACCATTTGTGAAGCGAGGAGCCAGCTTGGATGGAGTTTTCATTCCAAGCAGTGAGTTGATATTAATTAGAGAAAACTCTGAATTTGTTTTATATTTTTACTTGGAGGTATGATATCAAATAGCATTTAATTTCTGTTTCAGTGAGCGGAGACGCTCCCTCCGAGTTTGGGAACATGTCAGAACTTTTTAATCAAAGAGCACGTGCCAAAGTGTCTGAATGGCTGAAGACCAGAGCTGGAAACTCTGATGTCACCTCGGGGATTGGCAGCATGAGCGCCTCAGCCAGTCATGTGGATGAAAGTCCTCTGCCTGATGAAAACGATTAACCAGCAAGTTCTGTGAAACATTAAATAATTTGAAAATAATAATAATAATTTGAATTCACACATTCTTGTTAAAAACAGAAACACATGATAATCTGATCTTTTTTCCAATATCAGAATCAGAGAGACTTTATTTATCCCGAAGGGGCAATTAAGATAAATATTAAATATTGTTTTTTGGATTTAATAGTGCATGCCCAGCCACTTGGGTTGGCACACTGTATTTTTATGAAAAAAATAAAGTCCTGCTAATTTAATATTTACATTTTTGTTCTCTTACTCTTATCATTTTTCACAATAAAATGGGGAATTGACCCATTTAAAAACAATGTTAATGTTTGTAAATAAAGAAATATTACATTTATTAATCATGTCAATTCCCTGCACCTGTCACAGACATGAAGGTCAAGTGTTGAACGTCATATTGACGTCCAGGTTGGGTCATGGTTGGATGTTCAAATTGTGGACCAAGTTTGGACGTGTATCGATGCCCAGAATTGGTCATGGACCGATGGACCTAATACAGACATGCTCTGCCCATGTATCTGACGTCCAATGTTTTGTGGGTACAGGTTACGAAATTTTCTCAAAGTAAAGCAAGTCAAAATAATCGTTGTAGTGGGAAAAGAATCACAGCTCACGAACATTTCTGTCACTTCAATGTTCTGTTGTTGCTCTGAGGTTTACTGCTTTTTGTGGATTTAAATTAATTAAATTAAAATAATCTCTGCTACATTTTATGTAACCTAACTGTGACATGAACACCAAAGCAACTGTGCACCAACACAGTGCATTATTGTAGATTCATCACAGTGACAATCTAACATGTTTATCCTGCACTAAACTGCTGAGTGTTGTCATGGAACATCTGAATAACAAAAACTAAGTACACACTTTGTTTTGTTTTGCTGGGTATATCACAATATATAAAAAGCTGAACTTCACATCATACACAACCAATATCTTATTTAAAAAATAAACACATTACATGTAAGCTTCAAATTTCCTTTTTATCAAATGTCCCCGAGTAGTCCTTACCTTTAAAAATAACCTCTCTTCTTCTTCTGTTCTGCCTTTCTCATGTTTCCCCATCTCTGAGTGAACAGCTCTCATTTCTTTCTTCCCTGTGAAATAAAACACCTGTACCTGTACCTGTGTGACACAGAAACAATTTGTGTGTTTGCTGATATTTGTTGAGCTTACATAAACACTGCATTTGAAATTATCTGCCATTAAAAAAAGAACAAACAAAAAACCTTCTTACTCCCTTTATACTCGCTCCTCTTCTGTAGGGCTAGCTTAATGCTGAAGTACTGCAAACACACTGCATAAACTACCTTTTTGCCTCCTTCATTCCTTTGTATGCAATAAGCACTGGTGATGGATACACCAGTAGAATGGTCTTTATATATCTTTGTTCTATTTTGTTAGTCCCATATTTATTGGTTTGAAGGCCCACAGTGGTTTGAAATAATACTTCCCCCAAATGTGTTAAGTAACAAGCCTGTTTTGAAAGTGTAAAGAGTAGAAAGGTCAGATATTTTTGTAAAAATTGAGTAAAAGTAAAAGGTTTCAGAAAAATAAGTACTACAGATACCAGAATATTGTATTTAATTACAGTAATGATGTTTTTGTCTGTGAAGGTTCTCAGTCATCCAGGTCATCGTAGTCAAAGGAGCTTGCAAAGAAAAGCGTCTGGAC